TTCTTTAACAACTAATAAGAACCGGACCGGATTTGGCGTATTATTTAGGTATACAGTATAAAATGTCCAGTCGAAGAGCATTTCCGATCCAACACCAAATCTTATACCAAACTTATTTTTTGGTGTAAAAACCTATCTAACCAAACACCATTTCCAACACCAAAATGGTGTTGAACTTTTTTTATTTATAAATTTTTTTTTTCAAATTTTAATCAACCTTAAAATTAATAAAAAAACATATATAAATTGTGATGGTTAAACAAAAAATCTAATATGTTTGATAATAATAAAACAAAAATTTAATATATTTTGTTATTTTATATGTTACAATGTATTTTTTATATAATAAATGTGAAATTTAATTTATTTCATAATTTTTTAAACTTAAAAAAATAAGTGGGGTTGATTTGTAAATTTTTTAAAATTGAAAAATAGTATCTATTAAGAATATTCAATTTTGGTGTAAATCACTGGAGCAATGGTGTTACCCCATTTTTGGTGTAAACTATTGGAGATGGTCTAAATCAGTATAATTCAGGCATACAATATCAATTTAAGAACTAATAAGAACCTGTCCGAATTTGACAGTATTTAGGTGTTATAAACTCGATAATTTGAAATTAATAAGAAATTAAGAACTAATAAGAACCAATCCGAGTTTGATGTATTATTTAGGTACGAATCAAAAATGTATGGGTATAATTCAGTACATACACAGTATAAAATGTACAGTTTAATAATACGTATAAATGTATAGTATATAGGTATCATAAACTCGATAATTCAAGAGTAATAAAAAATTAAGAACTAATAAGAACCGGTCCGAGTTTGACGTATAAATGCACGATATTTCGAGGGTTAATAAAACAAATTCAATAATTTGGAAGAGAAATATAGATAAAATATCCGGGACTCCAATAATTTATTAAAAAATAAAAATGGAAGGTAATTGTATCAAATATGGCTAATCTGACATGAACATGTCTTTAGGTAAGAATTTTCACAAATCCACTTTGGATCAATAATCCGGACTAAAACTTAAGAATCGAGTAGCTATGTATGCAACAATTATTTTAGTTTTATTCAAACTCCGAAACATTTATGAAATTAAAACCCAAATAACTCAATATTTCTTTCTTTATAAATCGTGGAAGTTTCATATGTTCTTATATATTTTTTTCCGATCGTTAATAATAAAGTGTTTAAAACGTAAATTATTTTTCTAAATAAAATTAAACGAAGTACATTGAGCACACCATTTACTTGCTAATAACTCGATGATTAAATTCTATGCCACGTTAAAAATTATTTTCATTCATATTTGAGTGGGACTAGCTAGATTAGCTAATGCCTAGTAATGGATGAAATCAGTATGATTTTTGGGAAATTTGGTGTTATAACCAACAAAAATTTATTAACATAAAAATATTTTGACCATGATATTCTTCATATTTTGTGTATTAATTATAAAACAACCCTTTTTCATAAACACACACGCCCATTTGTCATGTTGCATCGTGACATCTCCGACTATTTTCTCCGGTGAAATCACCACCGTCTCCTCCCATCATAGTCTCTTTGGTTCACCGCCATTGATTTTTCTTTCCCACAGTCTCCACCGTCTTTATCGTCGCCTTTGAAGAAAGTGTCACCGCCGGCATACACAACATCTCCACCACCTCATTCACTTTCCGATCTCACCGGAAAATATGGCTTCTCCCACTATCAGAAAACATATCAATTTTGACCATTTTTTTTTGTGGTCAAAACTATTTTCATCATTTTCGACCAATTTTAGACGAATATTTATTTTCGTTATAAATTGGTCAAGAAAATACGATGAAATATAAAAGTCAAAAATTGGTCGAAAAATTTTGACCAATTTTTAACGGATTCGTAAATTTTTCAAAACATGGTCGAAAACTTGCGACAAAGAAGATTGATTGAAAATTGGTCAAGAAAACATGTTAATTTTTTACCAAATTTTTTATCAATAACTTGGTCAAAATGTTTGCTAACAAATTTTCGACCAAAAAATTATGAAAATTTAAACTCGTCAATATATGATCAAACTTTTTTTTTACTAACACAAGTGGTCAGTAAATAGTCAAAATATTCTTACCATTTATCGACTAAAACAGAACTTGGTCGAAACTTGGTGAGTAATTTTTTACGAATAAATACTTGACAGAAATTGGTCACAACATTATCGACCAAATATTGAGGAGAACACTTCTATTGTATTTGTCCCACATCACCAATATGGAAGGGATGAAACTTTGACTTTCTCTATAAAATAACACTTACTCCATTGTGAAAAMCGTAAATGGGCTTCATGGCYCAAATAGTTAAATTTTRAAATATTTTAATCGCTGATTGAGTGAATATTTTGAAATTATTATAAATCAAATATTTTAAATTTGAATTTTATATTTTCGAATATATTTTTTTGAAATATTTTATATTTTAGGTTTTTAAAAATATTTAATTTAATTTTAATTATTATGAATCAAATATTTTAAATTTCAATTTCAAATTTTTCGAATTGATCAAAATATAGTTTTAAAATTTAAATATCTAAGTTGGTCAAAAATTGGTTATAATATATAGTCTAAAATTGGTCAAAATATATAGTTCCGACCATTTTGATTGATCAAAAAATTTTGACGATTTTATTGGTCATAATCAAAATTTTGACCACTTTGTTGGTCAAGCCCAAAATTTTGACCATTTTTATTGGTCAAAACGTTCTT